AGTTTCGCTTAGGGTTTCAGATTAAATTTAAAAATAAGTTTGCGTTACACCAATCGGCCATTTAGAAGCAACTAATGTCACTTTGACCGACAGTTAGTTATTACTCAGCGGTGAATTACTGTATTCATTTCAATGTTACAAAATTTCAGTTTAGACCTTAACTGAAGAGGGTTAATCTTATCGATCGAATAAACCAATTTTCATGAGTCAGCCCCCCAATATGTTTTTGAAAAGACCATGTGATTCGATGATTCAGCTTATCAAAACAATGATTTTCGTATTTCAGATCTGATTCTCTCTGCATACATTTATAATTTTATGTTTCCAACGCAAACAATTATGAAAAAAATGATTAATACATTATTTAACAGTTTTTTTCAAGTTTATAAAAATTTTTCATTCAGTTAATGAAAAAAGTCTTATTTCTCCGAAGTGACCAGTTTGGTTTAATGAATTATAATATTAGTTACTTCAAATAATTGTTACCGCCTTACTAATCATTCAGTGACAACCGGAAGATAGAAATTTATATAATCCTCGATAATACGTAATAAATCATGACAGAGACCAAGGAATTTGCCAAGGAAAGTGCCTGTCAAGAAACTCATTATATATATTGTCGAAATCTACATGAAATTCCAACGATAATCCAAGTAGTTCGTATAAATCCAGAAATATACTTGTTTATTAAAATATTATTTTCTTCACTCTATGAGAGTAAACTGTCTTGCCTTGTAGCTTGTTAAGAAGACTAAATTCGAATAGGCACGATGATTTAAGATTTTGATACTAAAGTGTAATGGAATTAGATAATTATCAGAGATGGATAATGGATGGCAATGGGATTCAGGGTGCGCGTTTCATCCTACTTTGGACTCGCCCGCTGTGTGTACCTGCATCCCAGACTTGATATTCCCCACAGGACTCGAACCCAGTACCTTTCGATTCAAACAGAACTGCATTTTCCATTTAGCCACTGAGTCCAGGTAGCCACCGGCTTGTTTAACATAGGAAAGGGATTATGTTTAAGATTCATCGAAATTTTGTTAATTACGTTATTAAGTTAGCATTATTCAAATTTTGTTAGTTTCATAATACTGGTTCAAATACTGACCTACCGTTTGTACTTTCATTGTTTTAATGATAACGTTTTCTGAAAGATAGCTCTAAGATTTTAAAAATGTCGACAATTTTTTGCTACTAAGTAATAAAAATCAAAAGGCAAGAACTAATCAGTGGTGACGAATATGATCTAACAAAAATCTAATGAGCAGTTAAATCACAGTAAGTAGTTTGTTCATCACCAAATGAAATGATCGATTTTTGCCTGAAAAACATTTTCTTTCGTAAACTATAAATTATTCTTTGTTTAATATCAATCTTGTTGCATAATATTCTAGATTTGGATTTTGCCTAGCATCAAGCTGATGCTCTATTGAAAAATCATGAGAAAGAATAAAAGATATGTTGACTGTTTTTAAGATAATCACTATCAGTGATGAAACTTTAATTAAACTAATCATTCATGTTTACATACCTTGTGAAATTTCTATACTTAAAAATCTTAGCTGTAAAAACTTTAAAGTTAAAGAAATAAATTCTAACTGTTCTCATTAATTAATACGTGCTCAAGAGAATCGCATAAGATATTTTTTGTCAGGACACTGTACACCATTTACTCTAATGATATGTTAATGATTTCTTAAAAAAAAAATTATCAGTTAATTAACTTACATCAAGATGATTATTTACGTATGCAATTAAAGTGTACTTGTACACTTGATACAACTTATCTGTACTTTAGTTAAATACTTATTTATACACAAAGGTCAAGTATAGATATCGATATATGTAGACATGAATAAACTTCTATCCTTAAAATAATATTACTTTCAGCTGACAATTTTGTAACAAAAGTACTATTAAAACATGTTTTTTTTCTTTTAAACAAAATAATTTTTTTTTATATTCAAGTCTTCAAGATTTGCATCAAAATGATATTCTAACCGCCCTGCCGTACGAAGTTATCCTCTATTAATAAACTCTTATTTAAACATAATTATCAATTAAAATGTAGCATATTTAAGTTTTATGAATAGCTGAATTAAAAAATTTACCAATTATTGAATTAGAAGATTGTATAGACAGTTAACATTTCTTTGCTTACTTTGCTCAGTAGAAGTTATTAATGTTGCAAATTATAGGCAGAAATAGTATGGATAGAAATTATGTACAATAAGAACATTAAAATTATGCAGTTAGCAGGTAGACGCTAAGATTGGGGTTGTCTATATATTTTTATTCGTAGTTCGACAATTTGATCATACGAATAATGTCAACCATCAAATTAGATCTTTGTGTGTTAGGTAGTTCGGTTATATTTATTAATTATTAAAAACATTTAAATATACAGATAATGCAACCCTCACAACACTGTCCCTTAGGATTACAACATGTGACAGCCAATATATAATGTAGTTGTTTGGTATTCAAATGCTACAGTTATAAAATCACAAACTTGAACGTTCGAATAATCAATTGCCAACTTTACATCATAAATATTCAACTAACTCAGAGATCATAACACCACAGGTTGAGATGCTAAACAGTTTTTAAATTCACAACATCTAGTGATACAGGTGTAAAAGGAAAATGAATGTAACCAACAGTGAAAAATACAGCTGCCAACTTACATTGGCATTAGATTCTGCATAAAGTTCTGTGACAGAGTTAAATTAGTAAGCACTTGTCTATTGACTCAAAATTAATGTTACAAATAAAACTCCTTTCGGTCGACAAATTAATAAGAATTAGTATTCATTGCATTGTTCTCTAAAACCATGCTTAAGTCTAAAACAACTGTTGGATATTTTCTAACTGTCAATGGTGGTCCAATAAACTTACACAAATCTTTTCCATGAATTAATACTGGTCGAACTTAAAGAAAAAGCGTTTATTTGTATCTAGGTTTAAAATAATTTTTAGTGAATATGAACTGTCTTCCAGTTTGACAGTTATGTAAACAACACTTTCTACTTGATAACAAATCCAAATTAAGATATCTATTTAAAAGTTATGTCATGATAACTAAACTTCATTCTCATCTAGATACCTCAGCTTGCTTTGAATTTAATTAATCGGTAAGGGTTTATTTATATTCAGAATTGATAATCAGAACTGATTTCATTCGGTTACATTTTTGTGTCATTGTATGACATAAGTATTTTGGCTATCTTAACGTAGCAGTCTTTGAAGATTCAAAAAACGAAGCCTTAAAATATTTTTCAATAAGATTGATTTGCGTTGTTTAATGTATCAATTTTTTCATCAAATACCTAAAATAGTTTATCACACTAGTCTACTTTATGTTTTTGTCAGCTAACTAGAATGACACATCTTTCAGATAGAATTATTATAGTGATTTTTATCGCATCTATATGAAGTAAATTATGGATAATTTGAACATTGCCGAAGTCAAATGAGCACATTTTCAATCGATAATTTACCAATTGAAAATGAAGTTATAAAAATGCCTGAATTTCAACTTAAATTATAAATTATCAACAAGACCATTTTACCTAAAAATGAAATGTGGACAAATAAAAAATAGCAATAATATTAGTATATACATGATAGTAAAAGAAGACGTCAATTATATCATGATAGAATCACATTGCCAACATTTTATATTACCAGTCTATCTTTGTAGTAGCATAGTTACAATGCATTAATGGTAACAATGTGATCATTCAAATTCAGTATTCTAAGATGAAATTTCATTGAGGCTTGTTCTGATAACTAATGGATGGTTATACAAGAACTGAAGTCGTCTACCTTCTCATCAAGTGATGTTAGATTCTAAAATAACTGAATAAAAGCCCCTAGTAAAAAAATGATTGACAATTTAACCAGAAGATAAGATGAGAACAACAAATAGTATTCATGAGTATTAATTACTAAGGAAATCAATTGGATTAAGTAGTTACGGACATAGCAGATAACAAAATATCTTATGAGAAAATTGTGAACATTTTAACTAACATAGGATGTGACTAACATATATGTAATGATGAAGAGATTAATATTATAGTTATATATGAGTTAGAAAGCAAAATAATTCTGGAAGTTTGAACTGTAAAAAGAACTTCAAATAATTAATCATTTGTAACTCACTCTAATATCAGCTTTGTTGATACTCAAGATGGAAAGATCAATTATACAGATTTCATAGAAATGCACAGGTTTTGTTTTACAAAGGCAAATACTAGCAGTTTCAGCTGTGTGTGAAGCATGTATATGTACAAACAGGTGGTAGAATTAGTGAGATTTAGTAGATCATTCCAAGAGACTCTATTCATATTGTTTACATACTCTCAATAGATTAAGTTAGTAATTATGGAGTTGATAACTAACTAACTAACTTGTCTTTTACTTAGCCAAGGAGGATAATGTTGAAAAATTCAATGATAGGATTGTAAGGTTGTACTTTCAATCGTACTGCCTGAAAATATTCTAATTAGTAGATACAAATGAATGAGCTATACTCAAGTAGTTTTTACTTCCAGTTTGGCATATCATCAGGAGACATCTCCCGGAGGGCTTTTCGTTTCCCGTGTTATTGTTTTACTAGAATTTTGAACTATATTAAACAGGTTGGAATTAAAATTCCAAAAATGGTGTTTTACAAAATTTACTGAACAACCTAATACAAATGTCTTTTGTAAAAGTATTTAATTTTAAAGAGGTTAGTTGTCGTAGGATATATTTCAGAATATTGGATTATAAAGTTTATCAAATGGTCATTATTGAGTAAGGTTGAATGAAAAATGAAAATGAATTATTAAATATATTCTCTCTGACTCTCACCGCTTCATCTACTGATCTTAAAGTGTGACATCATTCGTATTCAAAGGTACCATAAATATTTAGTTAGAATTAAAAAGGTACAATGTGGATAAGCAGATTAGTTTGAGAATAACAAGTAATTTATGTTGACTTACCTTCAGAAGATTTTCTTCCTATTTCTGGACTATTACTAAATGATCGGAAAGCTTCGAGATTACCATGGTAATAATGAGTATATTTTGTAGAATGATTTGTTTGTTGGGACTGTCGATTTTGATCATTTTGAACATTACGCGGGGAATTATATGAAGTGTAGTTGTTTCGATAGTGAATCGGAGAGTAACTTTCAAAATTATTGCGATTAGCAATGAGGCTGTTATTAAAATAATTTTCAAAATGATGATCATCAGTTGGATACTGAGGTAAAGAACCAATTTCATTTGGTAGCGAAGTTAACGACACTGAATTTCGTTTATGCGAAGCTAAAGTGCTGTTTGAAAGATATGAATTTGGTTTCAAAACATCTGGTAGTCTGTTCATTGTTTTATCGGTTGTTTTGTCCCTAAACTCTATATTATCGTCGGTAATATCAGTTTTGGGATAATAAATATTAGTAAAAGAAAGAGTACGATCATTATTTAATGCATGTGGTAAATATTTTTGGTAAGTAGACTGTATAACTTGAGGTCGACGTGCTATATAGTATGTTCTACCATATTCATGGTGTTCTTGTGGCTCTTTATTGTTTCCTTCCACGCTTGCTTCATCAATAAGCTGCTTTGCACAGGATGACGGTTTAGCTTTAACTGATCTAGGTGGCAAGTTGTTATTTTTATTTCCATATCTAGTTCCATTACTAACCTCGTTGCGACCCACTGACGACAATGTTGTTAGTGAATTTTTGGGTACCAGTGTAGTTGCTGACGTTTGTGTACCAGCTGTTGTTCCATTGCTTGATGAACGATATACGTTATTACTGTTATTGTCCGAAATTTTAGAATCGAAATATTTTGATTTAGGTGTTATACCGTCATGATGATTTACGTTACTATTATATAGTGTTTCATTAGATAACATTTTACGAGTAGATAAAGGTGATGAAGATGGATGATAATTTGCTAATGGCCTATATGGTGATGCAGATGAACTACGTTTAAATAATGTATCATAATTGCTTGTTGGTAAACATAAAGATGAGTATTTGTTATTTTTACTGTTATTGTGATTAACTGTACAAACACAATTATTGTTTGCCATAGATAAATCATTATAACTATTATTGGGCTTTGTTGAGTTGATTGACACAATCAAATCACTTTTGGTCGTTTCTCCAGGCGAATGGTTTGCGAATTTATTATTGTCTTCATTGTTCATAGTTTGTGTTTGTGTTGAACTGTTACTGGAATTATTATTACCATGGTTGTAATTAGTGAATGAAGTAGGAGTATAACTATATCGTTTGTTCTTCGAAGAAGAGTATTCAACTCCACTTAAATGTGGGGACAAACGATTATTTGAGAGAAATGGGTAATTGTACGATGTTAAATAACTGAATGCTTCTGATTTGTCATTTTTATCATTAGTGACTACTTTATCATGACTATTTTCTTTAATATTAATATTAGTCGTACCAGTATTGTTGGTAACATCATCACCGTTGAAATCATTAATAAATCCGTTACTAGGACTCATGTTCGGTTTCATATTTTGTGACAGTGATCTAATTGCTGCCGAAATTCCTGGCTGTGTCCTACGATTTACTGAAAGATAGACTCCGTCAAACATCTTGGTTCTTGAATTTTGGAGATTTATTTCATTTTTATTACTGGTATGAATGTCTTTGAAATCCTGTGTATTGTTACAGTTCGACACACCTGTTTCATCGTTATTTTTGTTGGAACTTAATTTATATAACCGTCTTAAATAGGACGTTGGTAGCAAATTCGAAGCAGGTTTATCAGAATCCAACTTATTACGTTGAAATACTTGTGTAGAAGCTTCAGTGTGTTGATTTCGAGGTAAAGCCTTTGGTGATGATTGCACAGTGCTGATATTCCCATATGAGGATGAAACCGTGGGGATATTATTGATAGGATTTATGAAATTAGAACTATTGTTGTTAGATAGATGCATGTAGGATATTCAAGATAAACTATGTCCATAAACTGTCAAACAGTTTCTCAGGGAAATGATAAGTTCGAATCATTTTCGTTATATAGACAGACAAAAGACTTCATTAGAGAACGCTTTTATGATTTTGTGAAATAGTGCGAATTTGTTAATACAATGCTCCACACTAATGTTTGGATTTGCTAGGTTTTATCTAACCAATCACATACATGAATCAAACTTATTCTAACAAATCAAATCTGTCCAGAGTTGTTATTTGATTGGTGAGTTTTGTACACCAATAGGATTACGGATGTTTCTATTAAATCAGGGTTTGTTAAAGGCTTACGAATGTGCTAGTGAAAATGACTTCAAAACCACGGAATCTCATGAAATCTGGTAACATTTTTGACAATCAAGACAATAAATTTGTCTTGAACATAAGTACTGAATTAAGAACCAATAGATATTTATCAGACTCCGTGGTCGTAGATCTGAATGCTTATTACAGAAAAATAAATCTTTCAGAAATAATAGCGTATTGGCTGTTATTAACTATTATTAACATAAACTTGTTAATGCTGTAATATTTAGTATGTACTATTAAAATGAATGTATTCACAAGTTAACTGAAATAGTGAAATTGATAATCAGAATAATTATGGAAAACATAAGGTGAGAGGAATAGTAATGTAATTGTAAATTAGATCGAATGTAGGGTTGAAAATGATATAAATTGAGCAAGAACTAGTAAACTGTCAATTATTAATTGGTTATCACAAATTTTTATATTTTTTATATATTTTTTTATACATATATATTTTTTTATTTTTATATTTTTTTGTGTGGGGGGTTACACTATTATTGATGCTATCCAGCTGGAATTTAATGTTAGGAAAATGTTGGATTTATGTGCAATTACCGGTAACTTGTAAGCAAGCCACATTCGTACATTAAAAGAAAATTTTCACTCTCTTAAGAATTGATAATAAAATGCTGCATTTTTAAAAGTTAATTCTGTTAATCAAATACATTTTCGAACAAGTAAAAAAAGCTACCAAGAGAGGAAAATGTAGATGCTTTTAGAGATGGCAGTCATTAATCAACAACCGCTAAATGAAGTAACGGATATGATTATCAACTTAAGGGTGAATATTACAATTTGTTTAGGCGCAAGTACGAAGAACAATTTAATCATAATTATGTCTAAAAACTATATCATTATTAAATTAGCAGTCACTTCACGGTGATAATTGTCCAAGAATATCCTTCAAATTTATTTTAAACTTAATGAAATCCACATCTATTCGACTGAGCCTAAATGATTTCGCGATAGCAGTCAGCTTATCGTACAAAAATTATAATACAGCTTCGTAAAATTATCCGTTGATTCAATAAATTAAGCCAGTTGGCCGGATGGTGTTTGAAAGTCGTGCTAATTAAATGTCACAACTCAAATGCTCTGGAGATTCACAGTAGCTTAATAGTTTTTAAACGACTGAAAGTAAAGCAACACAAACAACTTTTAAAAAAACTAACACTTTATGTTTACAGGTGAACCAATAAATGTATAATTCTCAAAACTAAACAGTTGGCTAACCGTTAGAACAAATTTAAAACTTAATCATTGAAGAGAGTACGGTATGTATATGTTGGAGTTAGTGATTGATAAGTGTCACAGAAGAGGAGCACTCTCTTGTTAATAATATTCATTTTTTCCATTCAACTACCAAACAACCATATTAATTAATAAAACAATCTTATTTTCAAATTGTAATAAATGTTTTATACCTGCAGATAGATACGTTTGAAATAAATTAGGTATACAGTGAAAATTCATTAAGTGTATGAATACTGAAAACATTCTGTTAAAATTGACTAAAATAATTATGAAGATTGATTGGGATTATTAATTATCCTTAGTGACAGTCCTTAAAACCCGTTTGATAGACGAGAGCAGTCCATTAAGGCCTTCAAAATATTCTCATGTAGTTGGGGAAGCATCCAGAGCCGTATAGGTTTAATTACCAGTAGTTTTATGGAGAAAATCGATAGCGTAAAGATTAGGAATCTAGAGAAAGAAGATAATGAATCGACATGAGGAATGACCTAGAAAGCTTAGTTAGGATCATTTATTTTGTAGTCTGGTAAGTATAACATTTCAAATCGTAACTTTGATCAATTGTCTATTACAACAGAAATAATGCTCTGAACATCGATTCTATAATATGTGAAGGAAACATCGAGGTTAAACAGTAGAAACGGATCTGTGTCTGACAAATATCGGTATCGATTTGAATCATTCAAGATCAGTCAGTCATTCAGCTACAACGAACGACTTCGTACCTACGTACATCACTACAAGTTGCCGTACCACATTAGCACAGAGAGGTATAATTGTCAATTCAAATCCCATAATAGAAGAGGTAGTAGAAATACTAGCTGTTATCAAAAGCATTAGGGATCGACCGTATGATTCAGCGTACCCTTAGACCAAAAAACATCGCTTTTTGACGCCCTTGCTGGTTTACTACGCTGTCATATAGGCGATCTTGTTTTACGCTTGACTAGTCTACTCTTTTGATACTAGGGATATTCATCAACCCTCATTGGTTGCCATTTTTACCGAAAATCGATATTCACTGACAACACTTGCTAAGTAGTGTTAAAATTAAGCGTTTTTTCTTGCATAATTTAGTTTATCATTTAACTAGTGATGCATTAAAATATCAGACCCATGGGTTTAGATATGCATTATAAATGTCGTCCCGACGAATCACCTTTGGACTTTGATTGGTTTAAATGTTAAGTGAGATTATGATATGACAATGCAGCATGAAAGTTATGTGTTTGGCTAGCACCTGTTAGTACACCCCAACTTATACAGCTTCATGTATTGTTCAACTGACGTGTCAATTCGCATTGATTTCGTACATCATTAATGGTGTTACGTTCAATTTCTTGTTTTCGAAAAATAATTCATGCAGCGTTTTTCTGATAATGTGACACTACTCTTTTTGGAAATATGAGAAACTGATGACTTGTTCATCCGATGGACCGGAACTTAAGAAAGAATCACGATACTGACAGTTTTTCAATAAATAGTTAAGTTAACTGAAATACTACCTTGACGGGGTGGTCGGGCTTGCCTATCATGATCACCTAACCAAGCTATATTGGCTGGAACAAAGTTTCCTGTAGGTTCTACCATGCTAGCCAGGTCGATTGGAGAACGATGAGACTAAAAGCACCTACTCAAGGTCTGAGGACAAAGTCGTACTACTGACAACTTGAGCGCAAGCTGATAGAACGCCTACGTAATGATCGCGAACAGCGGTGGGTAATGAAAGCAAGAGAGATGGAAAAGGCAGCGGCGATTGGCAGCAGTAGACAACTGTTCAGACTTTTCAAGGAAACTGGTACGAGGAATCCATCTGCCGGCGAAATTATCAGAAAAAGGATGGTCTTATTAGTAGTTCTTAATCCAAAAGATATGATCAGTGGGCTGAGGGCTTTAGAAAGCAGTCCAACCGACACTTCGGTTACCCACGATTTCCGGTCAAGCTGAATAGCAAGTTTATGTAAGTTCTCCAACTCTTTACGAAGTTGAGAAGGCTATAGGACATCTGAAGCTAGGGAGAGTAGCGGGCCACGATAAGTTCACCTCTGAAATTTTTAAGGATGGTGGTCCAATTTTAGCAGTGAGACTGACTGAGATTTTAGCTAGAATTTGGGAACTGAACGCAATCCCATCTGAATGGTCTCAACCATTGATTGTTCTAGTCCGTAAAAAGGGACAGAAGTCCTCTTGTGACAATCACAGAGGAATCAGTTTGACTCATATAATACCCAAGATATTGGCTTCAAAACCAGGTTGGTTTCAGACATTTGCGTAGCTGTATAGAACAGATATTAACTCTTCGTCAGGTTCTAGAACAAAGACACTCGTACAGACGGACCAAAATAGTTGCATTTTTGGACCTTAAGGAGGCATTAGAATCTGTTGATTGTAAGGTCTCTGGCAGTATCTGTCAGTGAAATGTGTTTCAAAGAGGAACAGTGTCCTGTACTCGAACACCAAACGTCAGGTGAGAGCTTATGTCGAACTGTCATTGGAGTTGATTACTTTGAGTTTTGTTCGTCAGGGTTGTCCATTTTCTCAACTCTTATTCAACTTTGTCATTGACACGCTTTTAGAGGTGACACTGTCTTTGTCTAACTGTTCGGTTGACCTTTTAACAGGAGATTCACTTGTTGACTTAGAATATGCCGAAGACAGTTCTGTTTGGTGCATATGCTGACAAAATGCGGTCTTCGAATCAGGCTAAGTAACAATGCAAACATGTTCAGGATGCGTATCCGCCTCCTCAGGATCGGCACCTGAATTAGTTATAGGGAGTGAAGAAGTTGAGCGTGTTGGTCGCTTCACTTATCTTGAGAGTTTCATCAGTGCTGAAAGCCTGGTGTGGGACGAAGTCTCAACACGACTGCAGAAGGCTCGTTTGTCTTTTGCCAACCTTCTGCTAACCAAAGTGCTAGTATATTGCGCAGCAGTTCGCTCCGTCCTACTCTATGAGTACGAAGCGTCGCCAGTAAGGGTAAGGGATATTCGTAGGTTACTTGTAGTCAATCATTGGTGCCTCCGAAGCATTGGTTATATGTCCTGGTACAACAGCGAAAGCAAATGAATCAAGGATAAACTAGAATGACATGAGCGACTAGTCCAGATTTTCCATGTTCAAACTGTTTACTATCTAACAAGAGTTCATATCCCTGCGCAAAAAAGTAAAAAATTGGATTTCAGAGGTGCACAGTAGATGTAATTTAAACATGCAGTCCCCAAAGAATTAGACCTGATTGCGGCAGCTTCGAAGTAATCATACAGTTACAGATTATTTTCCACAGATTGATATATATTTTTTAAGGTAACGGATATGTGTTATCACTATGTATTTTACTTGGAGATGTTTCTAGGACGTCTTAGATGACGAAAATTAAGCAGAAAAGTGAGGCCGACAACCTTTAATGATAAAGCTGGGTGGTTTAGTACCGTTATCGTATCGGTGTATCACTTAAAAATAATACTACACTTCCTGAGAATAGAAAGTTGTAGCCACTATAGATAGTAAAACACTTTAAAATATTAAGAGCTGATCAACGGGAACTCAGTACGCTTTATGCCAGTTAGCCAATATATTGAGCGCAGCCAGTAGAATACTTATTTACCATGTAAGAATATAGCTCATATTCTTGAGAACAGAGATCGCTTGTTAGTTTTTCCGGGTAATATCGCTTAAGGGGTACTTCGTTTCCAACCAAAGAAAGTCTAGTTGAAGACTATGCCCGACTATAGCTGCTACCTTGTCATGGTCAGACTCGCCAACCAAGCTTTTTTGGCTGGAACATATGTTCCTGCAGGTCCTACCATGCCAGGCAGGTCGATTGGAGAACGATCAGACTAAAAGCACCTGCTCAAGGTCTGAGGGAGAAGTCGTACTGCTGACTGCAGAGGGGTGTGACAGCAGTAAGGTGTTTCCCTGGGACAACCAGCATATGCAGCGATGCTGCCTTCTCACAAGGCAGGAAGGGTTAGAAAAGGTCGAAAGTAAAACTGTCACACCTCAACCTGCCTCACGAATCTACGTCTCCGGTGGTAAGGGTGTCCACTAAGGACCTTTGAGAGCGAAGCTAATAACCAAAAAACCCTTCATAAAAAGGCCGTGCGCAACCAGCCTCGAGAAGTCGTCCCTTGGACTCTGCGGTCACGCTCCCAGGTCGTTACGACCAACGCTAATCTCATTTCCTTTTCAGGTTCCACAAGAAACAACCTTCCACGGTGTGGGCAGCCAGGAAGTAACAACCGCCCTCATACCCTTAACAGTATGCGTGACCAAATCGGTCACAAACCAATCCTTCCTACACCCCTAACATCTCCCTTATCTTCACAACTAACTCTTCTCACATTCCTCTATCACGCCGCACTGCTAATGCAAACGATGCGAGTTCATCAAAAGTTATTCATGGTTTCCTGAAACACCAATCCAGACATTTAATGTACGGACATTGTGTCGAATGGAGCAACAGGCTTCCTTAGTTAGGACATTAGAATCGCGCGCCATCGATGTATGCTGCGTCTCGGAAACGCGCATGCACGATCCCAGTAAAATCATTAATTTGACTTCACCTTGTCAGATCAAAGAAGCAGCTCAATTTACTCTTTGCGTGTCCGGTAACCCTAATGCTGCTTCCCGGGCTCTCACTGGTCCTAGACCGGGACTACCTCTCCCAAACAGGATCCCAGTAGATAGTCGCTTGTGCGCTGTCCGACTGAACGGGATAGTAAGGACTCGGAAAGAGGGACACGCCGTTGCTCTTCGTCATATCTGCCTACGCTCCCACTGGCAACAGTAGACAGTTGATCCACTGTATCAAGGAAACTAGTATAAGGAACCCAAATGTGAGTGAGACTATTTCGGAAAAGGATGGGACTACTATTTATTCTCAGGAGATTGGATCGATGGGCACAACACTTTAGGGATCAGTTCAAATGGCCGTCAGCAACACTTCGGTTACCCACGATCTCCACTAATCCTGAATGGCAATTCGACGTAAACTTTTCGAACCTTTATGAAACTGAGAAAGCGATAGTAAACCTGAAGCGAGGGCGAGCAGCGGGTCCTGATAGATTGACTGCTGAAAATTTTAAGGATGGTGATCCACTTTTAGCAGCTAGATTGACTGAGACGTTAGGCAGAATCCGGGCGTTATCCCACTTGACTGGTCTCAATCACCGATTGTCCCAGTCTATAAGAAAGGACAATCACACGGGAATCAGTCTAGCAATATAGTTTCAAAACTGTTAGCCTAAATAGAGCTCGTAAACAGCAGATTAGTGATAAACAAGGCTGGATTTCGACCTGGACGTGGATGTATAGACCACATTTTCACACTACGACAGGACCTGGAACATAGAGACACATTTATGCAAGCATGTTCGGGATACGACTCTCCCCATCGAAATGCAAAATGTTGCTTCAAGATTGGGTTGCATCAGCACCTGAACTAGTGATAGCCTGGTGACTGACGAAATCTCAGCACGGATACAGAAGGCTCAATTGGCTTTTGCAAACTTGCGTCACCTATGGCGCAGGCGAGATATGCGCTTGCTAACCAAAGGACGTGTGTATTGTGCAGCAGTTCGCCCCGTTCTTCTATACGGATACGAAACATGGCCGTTAAGGGTAGAGAGCTTTCGTAGGTTACTAGTCCTCGATCATCGGTGTCTCCAAAGCATTGCTCGTGTATCCTGGGACAACCGTAGAAACAATGCCGTGGTTATGAAATTAGTTCTAGGTAGGGATGGCAAATCAATAGAGGAAGTAGTGAAACTTTATCAGTTTAGGTGGTTGGGACATGTGTTACGTATGCCCAACAACCGACTGCCGCGGCGAGCTTTGTTTTGTGGTGTAGGTTGGATGAAAGGTAGGGGAGGCTAAACCAAAACATGGCACAAATCCATGAAGTCACTGACAAGTGGAGTGAGTCATGTTGGTATATATAGGCTGCCTGGTTGGTGTCCGCGAGACGAAAGTCACCGATGGTTAGAGACCCTGAATGACATGACTCAAAACCGTTTGCAACTGCGCAGGTACCTTCATTCTTTGTGTCCTGTCAAATCCTAAACTTTTTAAATTGTCACTTAATCTTTTTAAGTCTATTTCACTAGTTTTGACTTGTTGAATAATATCTTCTAATCCTAACTTCTTAGACTACTGCTAATACCTTTACTACATCTCTGTGCTAACGCGGTATGGCAACGTCAACTGATGTACGTACGTACGAAGTTCAACGTTGCTATTGATTGATTGAATCTTATGGTGTCGTGGCTAACAGAACAGATAATGGCGACAGTCTGTTGCAACTATGCTCAGAAAATTACTATTTCCACCAAACACTAACTTTTGGCATAAGGAAAAACATCTCTTAACCTGGCGATCCTCAAAGTCGCAAAAACGCTGGAACTAAGTAGATCACATCGCAAACAGCCACCGACGGGGGGTTTCGATAGAGGATTGTTCCTCGCTCTGAGGTACATGTTTAGATTCAGATCATGTCCCAGTGCGAGCGCGTATTTATTTGCGACTTACTGGAGGCAGGGAAGACACCACAAGGAAACCCCTTAGGGTTCTGATTAATGATAGCATAGCTAAGAATATCTTTCAGGAACAATTAGATAAACAGTTAGGCAACGATGTATTTGATGCCTCACCCTGAGGCACCTATAAATGATATCAAAAAGACTGAGGAAACAGCAGTCATACCTGCTAGTAAGGTAAACCATAAGGCTAGGAAAAAGCCATGGATCTGAGTGGCATCGTTCAAAATGATGGACGCTTGTAAACTAATCCCAAGTGCTCGGAACATAGCGAAGTCTTTATTTTACTCTGTCGATCGTGAGGTTCTGTGGCAGTGCCCGTAATTATAAGCTGTATCAAAGAAGTATATTAATCTTATACAGGCTTTCTACTCAAACACTACTGGTCGAGGAAAAGCTTATAGTGAACTGTCATCGGAAATGGTTGCTTTAGATGGTGTCTGTCAGGGCTGTCTACTCCCTCCATTCTTGTTTAAGTTTGTCGTAAATATGCTTTTAGAGTAAACTTTACCTTCGTCTAACCTTTCAGGAGTGGACGTTTTACCAGGAGACACGCCCGATGGCTTAGAGTATGCTGATGACATAGTTCTATAAGTTGAAGACGCTGAAAAAATGCAGCCTTGTGTAATATTACGGAAAAGAGTGACAGCCACTCATAATGAAAAAATAAAAGTATCATTAAATTCAAAATACAGGAGTACAAGGATGCCCAAGATATTTGTACAATTTCCCAGAAAGTCAATCACCATACAGAAAGCTGATACTCATTTCGCATCCGGAAAATACAGATAATTTATGTTCTACAGAATAATTAAGAAACAATATAATAGGTTAACTACTTAAAAATAAAAAGAGTAACCCCTTTCAAAATTCACATAAAACAGGATGTATGATGAGTGGATGAAACAAATGATTGATGAATAAATTAAACATTAAATTTTCTGGGTTTATTTTCACTAATTGGATTTTTTTGGATATTACGTTGATGTAGGACGACCGGTTGGATCAATAAACAAGTGTCTACACAATGGACAAGCAGGATTTCGACTGGTCGTAAACCATTTGTACATACAAGCATAATGAAATAATGCGCGACAGGTGTGACATCGCATTTTGGGCAAACTGAAATTTGTGTTATGCACAATCGAGTAACAAATTGGACATTCTTCAACACCATCGAATTTTTTCCGAACATTACTTTGCCACAAATCGATACCATCTAAGATTGATCCGTTCTAAATAAGTCAAAAGGAATAGAGAAGAAAAAACTATGATAATGATTGACTTTATTGGTGCTGATTCATATTCAGTGAACCAGGCTGATACAAGTATTTTACAACTGGATGATGAATGTAAATAATAACAACAGAAGTTGGAATTTCGAATGATGGCATGAGCGCAGTGTGGATATATAAAAGTGTGTATATTTGAAAGCTCATTCATGAAACTTTAGACAGAAAAATACTGTGAGTACAGACTCTGATAAATATAAGTTTTAGGAAACAAATTTAGTGAATGTGAGTTTTACATAACGTTGAAGCGACTAAATGGTTCAAACGTATTTTGCTCCAATCTAACTATTGTGACTCTGCAAAAAAATTTGGAATAGCTCTTGTCTGATAAATTGTATAACAACAACCCTCTTCATTTATGAATATGATTAAAGGAACTGAGGATTAAAATTTGCGAAATTGGTTGAAACGGAATTGCACAATTTTAGTTTCAAAAACTCACAGAAATTCGAGAAAACTGTAGTCCCACAAACTCTCATCAGTTACGGTGGGAAAAAAATTTTTGATTTGAGGTGTAGGGTAAATCAATGAATATAGCTAAAAATCTGTGTCACAAGTGAATATCTAACACCCACAAAAGACAAATGAAATTGAAGAAAACACCCAATTTCAATTAGAAATATCAGTAAATTATTATCTATATTATAGACTTAACACTAAATGTAGTCAAATATTTATAAACATGACGGATTGTTAATATCGATGCGACAGTCAACAATGGTTCATTAAAAATGGTCATGTTCAAATACACAAAATCGAAACAGATCTTTGCCAACTCACATGGTTATTAATAAAAACGGACATTTGCAAAATCCATGACTGCCACTGTTGACTGCCAACTCCAACGCTACGCCCTTTACTAATAGTAATTGGACTTAAGGGATAGTTGTTTGGCAATTGAATTATCATTTCCATTGAATGTTCATCATCCACATAATATGTGGCAATAATCTAAATGAATTTATGTTTAGAAATAACTTCATATTATTATCATAATAAAGCTAAATTGTATTGTATGCATTTAGTTTAAGTGTAATAAATGTGCTTAAACACACTAGAATAATTCATGATACTTTATGAACTGCTAATCAAGTATACATTGAAAATACTGTGTTAAGTATGAATTTTCATAGGAGTCAGGATTATTATTGCTAAAGCTGTACAACAGAGACGTGTTATACATGGTGGGTAAGTGGGATTCACCTAGACTATTTAAGGAACAGATGGCGTGTGGACCTGTTCTTCGTCATCGACTACCACGGTAATTCACCTCTCAACGTTGTTGCACTGTGTTGTGGATCGGGGCTCTGAGTCAAACGCCCAAAACGTGACAGCCTAACAGAGTCACCTGCTCCGATTAAATTCCCATTGATTCTCAATTATGTGCGCGAAACGATGTCATTTCGTTGTCTTTACCTACGCCTCGACGGATTGCAGTCCGGATGTAAAAAAGGAGAAGTTGTACCACCAGTTAGAGGCAACTTTCCAGGAAATGTGTTTGACAGTCGGTCAGTAAGCTAAAACGTACAACTTCGTACATACGTACATCACCAAAAGTTTCCATACCACATTAGAACACAGCGATAGAATCGTCAATTCGAATCCCATAATAGAAGAGGTAGTAGAAATACTAACTGCAATCAAAAGCATTAGGGATCGACCGTATGATTCGAGAAGAATATCCCAGTGGAATTCTTTCTTCTTATTCTTATAAGCACCAGGTTTATACAGGCTACTTACAATTCGTTGAGACACAGCAGTCTGTACTGGGTAATTAGAAGCGAATTCTTAAGAAACGTAATAGTGCCAAGTTAGAGTAAGGACCGAGAGAATTGGTGGTCAGAGCATGCTAACAAGTTAAAACCAGCAGCTGATGGGACAACAACCAATGACATCTACAAACCTCTCGGGTGACAAGCAGAGTTCGTCAAGGAACCTTTCAGTAGCCACAGTAGCATCAATCACACTGTCCTGTCTTGCATAGCGAGTGTCGATTTATTCGCCTAATGAGGAGTAAGTTCACTCGGAACTCCGACTCTTGGAGCATCACATGTCAGTATTGTATTGGATTAACATAAAGTAATCTAAGTATGATAATATAATTCAGTAAGTATCTAATGTAAATAAATACGTAATCTACTGTGCTATGTGATGTATTATAAGATAAAAATGATTATATTTAGTAAGAACAACAGGTTATGAACATGTTTTCTAATGACCTCTTGGTAATAGTGCTATTATACTACATTTGCTTCCATTTAATTATTTTGGATGGACGGTGAGTGAATATGAGTATACATAGTGCACACTTACTTCATGTGATAAAGGGCGACCTTTTATTTGAACGCTTCCCACTTCAGCAGAACTTTTAAGCAAAGAAAATAGACCTTTCGAAGAAGTCCGTTCTTTCTTTAACATTCGAAGATATGAACGATACTGAACTAGAACAACTTCATCTCGAGATAGTCTGGACGAGAAATATTTCGACACAATCTTATCAATGGTACCAGCTAATTGACGTAAGCGACCAGGTCGGTGTGTAGCAAGTGGACTGGCTTGTGTAGATAGACTTTGTTTAAAACTTGATGAAGAAGTAAGTTGTGTATGCCATGCACGCACCAAGGCCGGAGCTTCTGAAAGAAAACGGCGAAACAGCCTCACTGCCAAGTGGTTAATATCCGTTGCTACTCTGTGCCCAGGGATACGGATAAGTGAGTCGTCAGGAGAAAAGGCATCCCGCCACTCACTATCATCTCCGGAAGATATTGGAGTTACCAAGTTAACGGGGCGTTTACTATAGCGACGTGAACAAAACACAGTTAAAGCAGCTGTAAGATAGGCACGAGATGTTGAGTTAGGGAGTAAAAGGCGTTCGTCAGGCTCCAGTCTACAAAAAGTATTTATATAATCTTCTAAATCTCCTGGTGGTGGAAGAAGTAAACCGATTATGAGCATGAACCTGTCGAAAATAGTGGCTGATGAACTCAACAAGGCGTTTTGTAGAGAAGCTCGAGTCTGGGGTCCGCCACAAGTCATCAGACTTAACAAACTATCCCAAGCTAACAAATAACCAAGGAGAGCTTGATGAGATCGACAATTGACTGTCCAGCCGGAATTAGAGAAATCAATCAAGTACAATAAGCTTGAACTACCACGGCCCCAATGATCCGTAGCTACCTCACTTTGCAAGTACTTCTCAATAGAGGGAGGTAACAGGCCGGATAAAGCCGACATCCAAGAGGATGGAATGCGACGTATCATATAACTGACTATAGAAACTGAAGTTTTATTGTTGCCTTGTAGTAAACGAGTTCCAGCGAGTCTATTTAGTAGGATGTAACCGAGAAGTTGACCGGATTGATGAGGTGAGTAAGCAACTAATTTGCAAGCCATATCTAGACTAGCACGAAACCCGATAGTATAATCATTTACAGACCCAATCTTAGAGGAGAAAAGTTGACTTATCACGCAAGGCTGACCTATCTTTAACTGGAAATCATTCAAGCACTCAAAAATCAATGAAGGTTGATTACTGAATGCAGTTACTAGATGATTAACAGGACAAGTAGCAAACGTAGCGCATAGAGCCTGGAGGTGGATATCGGTATCAAGGACAGCCTGAGATCTACCGTGTTCCGACGGGATGCAGCTTCTTAAAACAAGTTTCAAGAGTGTAGAGTAGAGATCAGGAGCAAAGAACTTTCCCCAGTCATTCCGAACTTGTAGAGGTGCCTCTGCTCGACGAGGTATGAGAGGTAGTCCTTTTGCAAAAACACTATACATATACTCTTCGTCATCTAAGTCAGGATCTTCTTCTGTACCCATCTGAATAACCTCGGTTTCCGATTCTTCTTCGAAGTCCATAGTCATAGTTTCTGAAGAAATGTCTTTAGACTGGTCATTACTATTATATTGAACGTCAGAAAATATTCTTGCATGTTCTTCTTCGTCGAAAAACTCATTTACAGGTTCCTCATCTTCACACTCATCAACATCATTTACATCCATGTTATCTGATTGCATCACTCTTTTACTTGGATTAGTTTCTTTTAAAATGATGCAATCCGACACAGACAAATATGAATAACGTTCAATGAAAATAGCACCAAGGGCAGCAGACATCCGAAACACTCGAGTAGCAAGTAAATCATATAGAGTTCTTTCGAAACCAGGACTAGATGAGAGACAAAAATAATGGACAACTGAATAAACCCAACTCACAGTCCAACAAAGAATAAAATCCCACTGTTCAGTAGATAAGGAAGGTCTTAATTGACGCATTCTCGTACTCAACTGAACAAGACCAAGTTTAACAGAGATTGGAGATTTTTCAGATTCTACGACGCTCCATTGCCAAGGCTGCCATAACAATAACAGACATTCAAGGTAATTCATTACTGAAAGACATATATTAAAGACTGATGGTGATTGTAAGCACATAGTTTTATCCTCAGTGATAGAGCCAGTTAAATTAGCTAGCCATGTTCGATAATCCTCTAAAATAATAGAAGAAAATGTTGTAAGGTAAATAGGTGCAGTGGCACGAACATTTACAAGACTTGAAATCAACTCAATGATATACGCATGAGATTTTAGTTGCTGATCGCTTAAATCTGATGAACTGTATTCTCCAATAGATAAGGAAAAACTTTTTAATCGACCGAACAATTCTTGTCTCGGAAGACAACGACGAATAACACCTGCAGGTAAATAAAGTTCTATACACCTGTTGAACTGCATTTTAACCGAATTTTTTTCTGTACATGAATTAAGTGGCAAATACATGTCAATCCAAGTTAATTTCTGGTTATCATCATCACTGCAACTAGCTGCAAGTTTGATATCATTAGGCCATAAATTGGGATGCATAGTACGTAAACGATTCAGTAACAAACTGTTTATCGTTGACTGTAAAATGTAATAAGTTTGTGACTCTAATGCAACAATGGATTTCAAAGCATTTGGCGATGATAAGCTCAAGAGACGAGAAAGTGGGTAGCCAGCTGTAAATTCATGCCAGAATGAGCCCAATGTTTTAGCAAGGAACAATCTACTTTTTTCAGCCGCAGACACTGATGGTTCGTAATGTTCAAGCTGACCATTCACTTTCAATTCATTTAAATCTGTTTGTTGTGAAAGCCAACCAATATCAGTATATAAATCCAGTGGTTCGCAAAAACTTGATATCCAGACACGTATAAATCCAAGACATAGTAAATATTGAGTTGAACAAACATCGTTATCGTTTGACATAAATTGTACATGAAGACGTAACAATAAACCTAACTGATGTAAACGAACTAATTGACCGAAATCCGGCAATACGAATGACGGACAAATGCTATGATTTTGTATAAGGTGTCGTGAAATAAAGAAAGCTTCAGGCAAAGGGTACAACTTTACAACAGCTTCTAGAACAATATTTACATGTTTGATCAAATATTTTAGCCAGAGCATAGAAAAGTTTGAAGTGAAAGATGAAGAATTTGGTTTATTTTGTACAGTTGAATAAATACGTGAAGCGAAATCATAAAATAATGGAGTGCCAAATTTTGAAGAAACGGTGTTCCTAAAAAGTAGATTAGAGAATTGACTAAAGAAACTTTCATCATTACAATCTGTCCATTCTTCGAGACTTAATCGTTTTAAAATAATTAACTCCGATTGATCAATTAATTCTTTGAAATTAAACACAACGTCACCATTAGTATCATCATCATGCAGGTTATCATGATTAGTGACTGAAGTTAAACTAATACCAGAAGACAAATGATCATCGACGGTAGATTCTGATGAATGTAAAGCATCTGAGGATTCTTTAATTTTAACGAAAGCACTAGTGCTATATGAACAAAACAGAATTTTTGTCAATAATAAATGAAGATAATCTAAACAAGATGAACTGAATACATTGTTGTTATTGATCATACGTAGAAGATGAATTAGCAAGCTTCCAATAATTCTTAATTCTGATGAACTAGTGACAGTATAATTGACGTAATCACAGAACAACATATTTTCGTAGCGTCGCTTCAGACAAGTACATAATGTTTCAACCAACCGGACAGGGATAACAATCTCAGGTGAATCAGAATCATTATTAACACTACTGCTGCTTGATATATGGTGGAGAGAATTTATTATTAAAGAATGTAGATTATACATGTATGGTACGACAACCGTTGAAGCAGGAATTTCATCACTACTAATTACTTTATCAAACCATACCTGTGCCCAAAAACATAATGTGTTGCTAATACGATTCGATAATAATTTTGTGGAGACACCGACTGAATCGAAAAAATTTCTTAGATTTGGTGATGATAGAATCAACTGCGGAAGTACGTTGTTAGTGAATAATAAGCAAACCGATGAATCAGTGGGGATTTCTGCTTCATTATCAATATCTTCTGAAGTAAGAACCCACAAATTGGCTAAACCTTGAATAGCTGGATAAGACCAACAAACTGCATGCACTTCACGAGGTAGTTTGGATAAAAGTGAGGAAAATATTTTTCGAAGAATACATGGAACAGAGAATGACATGAAAGGGAGATGACCGTAGATGCATAGAAATAGCAAAACATGAAAACTATCATTTAAATTGTTTTCAGAAACATTTTCATATTGTATATTATTTAATAATATATCATTAATTCTGTGAAATAGATTAATGCACCAATCTGTTTGCACAGTAACAGTCAAATCATTATGACTCATTTTATTATCGACTCTCTGTGAAATTTTCGAATCAGTAGGTGTATATCGGTTAGCTTTCTGAATACTTGATTTAGCTAAATGATCCACGAAGCTGATCAAGCGTAACGGATCAACAATTCCGATAAACATACGATTCACTTTGCCATCAATTATTGGTGCTATGAATTCGTCTGATTTTTCTAAAGAAATCCATTTCAATAAAGTATTTCTTAATTCATCATACATTTTTATTTTTAAATGATGATTAGATTGAGCAATATTATTGCAAAACTTTGCAGTCTAAGGAAAAGTGAGAAATATAAAATACAGAGAAGTAAATATAACTGATTACTTGTATAATGAAGACATTAAAAATATTGACCTGATCAAATCAAGTTAAATGAAGTGGGATTACATCAATGACCCTAAAATGTACTGTCATTTGAAAACCGCTAAGAGAAAGTCTATCGGAAAGACTTAATAATTCTGAGAAAAAAAACAACCTGACCAGCCTACTTCAACAATGAATTGAAATTATTTTGTGCCGCAGTTAATTAGCACTATGCAAACATACATAACACATTAATAAATAAAAACATTAAAAATATCAACTGCGATTTACTTTACGGTTGAAGATAACCTACTTATAAAGTTATATATATATAACGGTTATTACAAATATAAAAGTTATTCTGACTATTAAATTAAACGGAAATGGAAACTCACTTGATCGAAGATAACATTTAAATAAGATTGCCTTGAAAGTGGTGGACGACTGCAAACCAAATGTGGAGAGTTATTGGCTCGTGTATGTGTAATAAGACAGTCAGAAAAGAGACGCATAATCACCTGTGAATACATCTTTTTGGCTAAAAGAACCTCTTTTCTGTGCTCATCCCCCATGGGTGTTAGTAATCTATCAACAAGATATCTCGCACATTCCATAGTGCCTTTGGCTACAACGATTGATAAATCCGGATCATCTGGAAGACATGAACCAGTTTCGTTGCAGCTATCATCTGAAAGGGTCACGTAACCAAGTGAGCGGTGTACCCCGAGCAAAGTTGAGTCGATAAAAAGTTTTTCTAATATTTCCAACTCATGATTTTTTAGATCTGAATAATCCAGAGGAAATTCATTTAAAAGACAAAGTAGGTGTATATAAGCCTAAAAATTAAAAACGGATAACGAGCCTTAACACTTGCTTAATGCGTACAAAAAACAAAAATGAGTTCGAGGAAAACGGTTTTAATTAGGCATTTACTGGCAACTTGCCCACATTCTTGGAACTATCAATATTAATGTCGATACATAAGAACTTAACAAGTTACGATTATTTTGACCAAAAATGATATTTAAAGTGTTCTTTTATCGAAAAGTAAGCCAAATCATTTAGAACCGCAAGGAGTGAATTTACAGTTTAAATTATTTTCTGAATCATAGTTTTTACTGCATAATACTCAATTCATCTTATAGCTTTATAAATTATTGATTTCAGCCTTTATTATCCACGTGAAAAGTATAGGACAGTATGTATAATATTTTTAACTTAGTAGCAGATCAACTATACAACTGAGAATACTTGAAGAAGTTTACACAATTGTGAGGAATACGCACATTTCACGGTGTTGTAATGTATAAAACGCTAATAGGTAAATGGTACTCGATGATACGGTGTTACTGATCTATAAATGCACACATGATTCATTTATCGTCACAAACTTAAGAATGAAGTGAAATAAAAATTTTGAACAAACAGCCAGAACAATGTTCTTACACACAACGCTAAATCTTGAGATGTGAACGATTAGGGATTATGAATTTCGCTGATAAAATGTAGACATGATCATTGGGTTTAATTCTTGACCGTCATCTCATGTACATACTTTTCACCATAAGACGATCACAAAAAGCATGAAACCAAACTCTTCGGTACCCCTAATAATTTTTGGCATCCGTACGTGTGTAAGAAATACTTCCAAATCTCTAACCATTTCCTGGTATACTGCTTCCTAGTGTTTAAAATTTTTTTGACTTCATTATCGTACAACAACGAATATTCGGGACTGGAACTCGTTTAAAACTGATTTCAAAACCAAGTAAATAACTTTCAGAAATTCGAGAGATTGAATTTGTTTTGATCATTGGCTGTAACGGCCAAAGATTCATGATAAAGTTTAGTTTTATAGATTAAAATTGTGACCGAAAATTCCCATGCTGGTTCTCAAGGCAATCATATAAATGAATCACAGTAGATGAAATAACTCGGAGTATTATTGTTATGCAGTTTGGAGATATCGTTTTACAAATAATAAACTTAATTACAATGAAAATGCTAACTGGTAGATATCGGTTACAAAGATCTAGGGCTTTAATTACATACATGTGATAAGTTTAGGAACCATCCATTGATAATTCATCTTTACAAAAAGATAATTGAATATATTTCGTAAAAAAAAGAGTGGAGGAGAAATGAAAAACTACGAAAGATAATTCTCAAGACATTAGTTCGCCTAATTCGTAATCTGCAATTACCAATATTTGATTTATGTGACTACCTTATCCCCTTAATCATAAGTTTTCGTCAGGTCCATAAACTATTATCAAATAGTCTTGTGTTTCAAATTCATTGTAATTTGAATGCTAGCCTTGTATCTTATCTCTGCTTCCTAAATGTACTATTTTGGCATATAGTATACCTTATTATGTATTGTGCGCTGTAGTCCTCTTATCCATATATTTAAATGTATACCATTTTGAATTGTCATGATCGGATAGATAGACTTTTTCTATGGTCGTCTTGCCAAACAACTAGTGCTCCTGTAGTAGACGATTAGTCGATAAATAAGCTAGTTTTATATCGTCAAGACCAATTGGTCATGAAATAGACTCATACAGTGACAGTTTCATGATTATACTAAGTAGCTTAGCGTGTCAAGGCTATCAACTAGTCATAGGATGAATCTTTTTACATATCAAACAACAAATCAATGGCCAGAGCAAGGTGTCATGCACAGACCCAACTTATAACTACAAAGCAATCAAAGAGCAATAAAATATAACTACTTTTGTTGCAGTTTAGAAAGAAATAATATTGTTACATTCATAAAAAAGTGTATGCTATTTAATTAACCTGCTTAGCTTGATTCTTCTCTGAATAATTTAAAATATTTTCCAATCTCGCAACAAACACTTGATCCCAATCCACGACAGACCACACAAATTGACCGGATAATCCAGTTAAACAAGCCAAAGTCGCATCCCATAGTGAAGAATATACACCATTGCTAAGATCAAAAGTAGTGGAATTGTCAACCGAATCACTGGCCAATGTATTTCTAAGTAGTCCACAAGGAACACCAAGTGAACCAACTGTTATATTACTGATATATTCACCCAGAGCTTTTCCATCATTTGTTTCTTTCATCCATCGACACCAAGAAGGGCTACGACATAAAACTGAACACAATTTGTACACAGCAATACAAGCTCCAGACAGTGTCCCGCAGGTTTGATCCAACCGATTTGGCTTTTGTTCATCCCTAAGAGCTTTTAAACAATGTGCCACTTTATCCCAGATACCTTCAGGACATAACAACATTTTTAGGCGAATCAGTTGTTTGTGATCTGATGAAAGATGAATCAGATTACCAACAAAAGAGGCCAAGAAACGTAAAGTTGATGAAAGGTCAAAATAGTAAGACGATGACTCCGTAGTGGAACTGCCCGCAGGATTATCACTATTCTTCACCGGTGAACCACGTTTCGATTGAGAAAATGACTGTCGATCTGTACACCTTTGTGTCAGTTCAGATAGCTGAGTTTCAACCATATCTAGGAGTTGTTTAGAGCACAAACAGTGAACGTCTATTAGTTTCTTCCCGGGAAAAGTATCACATAATCCTTTATTCGCAAATAAAGCTGCTGACTCATAGGTATCAACTGTTGAGAAAGTCCAAATTGGAACGATCTAAAAAATTATTCACCATGTAGGCCAAAATAAACGAGAATACTATTCAATGAACAATATCTCAAAAAGCAGAGAGGAATCTAGATAAATTATCAATAGAAAGAGTATAAGTAAGTTATCTGTATAATTTTCACTGTTTTCTCGAATATTTATCAAGGCAAAATCTCTAGCTTCCTCATTTGTATTTTATTTCAAATATCAGCTAAAATATCTTACACATGATTATTCAGTTACATGAACTACATACAAATTTAAAGATCCGAACGATGAAAAACACTAAAATGTTCTACAATTAATACTATCTTTATGGTTATGAATTTTTTACCACAAACAAAACTTAGTATCTTGGAATTCACAAAATCTTAGGTAGAATGTTGGAAACAACAATAATATCAAATCCATCTGAAAACCTGTGTTTCTTCAGCATGTAGTGTGCTCACTTTTATTCATTAAACAACCACCAACCATAATATCGGCTTTTGCCAACCTACGTCACTTATAGTGTAGGCGATATATCCGTTTGCTAACGAAAGGACGAGTGCACTGCTCAGTAGTAAGTTAGGATGACAGGTCATTAAATGAAGTGTTGAAATTCTATCAGTTCAGGTGGCTGGGATATGTGTTACGTATGCCTAACCATCGACTGCCTCGTCGAGCTATGTTTTGAGATGTCGGGATAAGTTGCAAAAAAAGCTAGGGGTGGCCAGACCAAAACATGGCACAAATCCATGAAGTCACTGACAAGTGGAGTGAGTCATGTTGGTAGATGTCGACTACCTGGTTGGGGCCCGCGAGATGATAGTAATCGATGGTTAGAGACCCTGAATGGCATGGCTCAAAACCGTTTGCAATGGCGCAGGTGCATTCATTCTTTATGTTCTCGCAAATCCTAACTTTCTGAATTCCTTATCACCAATGTCTTTTTCTTTTTAAGTTTGTCTCACTAGATTCGACTTCTTGAATAATATCTTCTAAAACTAATCTCTCCGATTACTGCTAATACTTTTACTACCTCTACTACTATGGGATTTGAAATGACAATTGCATCTGTGTTAATGTGGTATGGCAACTTGAACTGATGTACGTATATACGAAGTTCTATGTTGCTCTTGATTGATTGATTCAAACTAACCACACTACCTTCATTTATTCCACTGCCTCAAGTAGAAACAATGTTTAGATACTACATGAATATGACCGTCCTACATTAGTCCTTGACTTATGACAAATTAAGTTCGGTTCCATGAAGTGATAAAGCTTATTAGGTATTTCGTTTTAAATCTCTTCAAAGTTGAGAGAGAGAAAATACCTCGTCGAATGACTAAACCGGGGATATGTTAAAACATTTTTAAATGTAGCCTAAATCGGTACGAATAAATGAAGTCCACATGGAGGTCACAAATCAAAGTGACAACCACAAGGAATATTAAAGTACGCTTAATAATCATAAACGATAACGTATAAATGTTACAAACTTAAAGATAACATTTACCTGCTTTAGGTACAGGCATAAATCCTTGCCAACACGCGAGGCAAGTGCATGCATAGTTGTTTGAACAAGTTCACGAACTTTCCTGTCTCTATCAAACGAAAGATGATGGTAAATTCTTGGCCAAAATGGTAAAACAGCAACAACTGAGCTTGTACTCAGAGAAACGCATTCCGATTGATTTAACTCGGGTTGGAGAAGTTCACAGAATTCGCGTAATGCCTTTTGTTTGGTAACTGAGTCGCGCTTTTCCAGACGTTTTAAAATATTTAGAAGGTGTGAATCAAGACCAGATGCATCTGGATCTTGAAGGATAGGAACAAACCCAGTTAACTTTCCTTGACAATTTTCTGTTTTCAGATCATCAGAATTCAGCGTGACATTTTTTAATTCAGCATTCAAAAGATATGTTGAAGGTATCCCTAAACCCCCAGTCTGTTTAACCAAAAACCTAGTGGCCTTGTCGCTGCTGGTAGGTTTAGAATTTTCTTTAACTCGTGGTTGATGGGCAGTTGTCTTTTTTTTCCCTCCCATAGTAGATAAGTTTAAAACAATAAGTAGTTGACCTACGAAGAAAAAAACACGTGTTCATAAAAATTACCAAAGTTTATAAAAAGTGAAATGATTGTATAAACCATTGGATCCAGAACACGTGATGAATAAATCGCTCATCGTAACACATGTTTGCGACTACCACTACAGTTTAGACAAACATTTAATGAGCTGGGAGATATGTTATGTACAGACATGCTGGCCATCGATAACTTTTGACCACGCACTGTGCAGTGGTATAAGACGATTACATATACGTACGATAACAAAACAAATTTATAACACATGTGTAGCCTAATAAAACCACTTGTTAAAATGACTTAGTATTCAAGTATATTTTGCTAATTATTTAAATATATCGATACTGGTACATATAAGCAACAAAGTTTAAAGACTGACCACACAAATGAGTCAATGAAATTGTGAAGAGAAATAGAAAAGCGAGGAAACATAATTTAAACAAATAAATGCATAGAAATAAGTGGACGAGAACAGTATACACTGGAAGACTTAGTTCAGTTACAGAAAATATAACCAGAAAGCATTCTTCCAGTCAAAAAAGTTCCGCTCATTTATATGAAGGAATTAAAAAAGAGTGAAAACAGTGTTATCAATCTTTAGTACACAGAGATGATCAAAAATAGAGTCGTTAAAGACTCTCAATGAAGTAGTGTCAGGTTAGAGTAAGGACCGAGAAACCTGGTGGTCAGAGCATACCAATGAGTTGAAACCAGCAGCTGATGGGACACCAACCAATGCATTTACAGACCTCTCGGGTGACAAGAAGAGTTCGTAAAATGATGTTACCATTGAGCGTTATCAGTCTTTAGTAGACGACGATGATCAAACACATAGTCACCAAACATTCTCAACTAGGAGAGGTCAGGTTTCCCCAATGAGTTTTTGATCCGACCTTTTATTACAGGATACACATCAAGGTGACGACAAACAAGTCAGTCAGTTGCAACGTAGAACTTCGTACGTATGTACATAAGTTCATGTTGCCATACCACATTATTAGCACAGAGACGCAAATGTCAAATCAAATCCCATAGTTATAAAGATGGTAGAGGTATTAATGTTATAATAAAGAAGACTAGGGTTTAAGATATTATTCAAAAAATATAATTCAGTGAGATAAGGTTAGAAAGACAAAGGTAAAGGTGCTGACGAATCCAGAAGATTAGGATTTGAGAGAGCTCAAAGAGTGGATGCACCTGCGCCATTGCAAACGATTTTCAGCCATGTCGTTCAAGGTCTCTAACCATTGATGACTTTCGTCTCGCGGACCCCAACCAGGTAGCCTACATCTACCAACATGACTCAGTCCATTTGTCAGTGACTTCATGGATTTCTGCCATGTTTTGGTCTGGCCGCCCCTAGCTTTCTTCCAACCTACTCCTACACCACAAAACATAGCTCGTCGAGGCAGTCGGTGGTTAGGCATACGTAACACATGTCCCAACCACCTCAACTGATGAAGTTTCACCACTTCATCGATTGATCTGCCATCCTTACCTAGTACTCGTTTCCTAACGACAGCATTGCTTACTCGGCTGTCCCACGATATACGAGCAATGCTTCTTAAACATCTATGATCGAATACTAGTAACCTACGAACATCTTCTACTCTTAACGGCCATGTTGCACAGCCATATAAGAGAACGGAACGAACTGCTGCGCAGTACACCCGCCCTTTGGTTAGCGAATGGATATCACGACAAACATGGCTGATATCTGAATAAGCGTTCTGGCTTTCACTACACGTGGACAGATCTTATCACACCCAACTATCAGCACTTACACAGCTACCAAATACAAGAACGTTTCGACTACTTCCGACCGCTCAATACCGAGAGTGAGTGAAGGCACACATCAGTGCCAGTCTGGCAAAGGAACCTTGCATTCGAACGGTGTAAAGTATATGACATTACTATGAACACTGAGGACCAACCGATTAATTACAATTCATGTAGCGTGAGCGTTATAGCACAGTAGGACAATGTCGTCTGCATAGCGAAAGTCGAAAAGTCTTCCTCCAGACAGCACTGCCGATTCCTGTCTCAGTCGTCGTCATCAATGGCAAAGTTTGGAAGATATGGTGAGACTTTTACTTAACCCCATTCGATGAATAGAACAATGAAGAGAAGTGATTGCGAGCTGTCATTCCGATTGAGGTGCTTGTATATAGGGCCATCACGACGTTAGAAGACTTATCAAACACACGTTTCGTCAATAGGTAATCTCAGAATGAAGTCTTGACCAGCAAATCGAATACACCTTGATACTGAGAAGCACAAAGACCGTTGGTTTGAAATGAGTATGGCAGTGTCCTAGTGTTTGATGAAGAGTAAAGATATGGACAACACAACCTCGACTGGGACGAAGAGGAACCTGCTTTTCACGAATCAACCTTTCCAAAGTTTTGACTTATCTGCCAAGTTTGATGGAAGCCAATATTGTGGACGCATTCCGAAGTATCCTTATTCCCCGCTAATTGTTACAAAGGTGGCATGAACACTTTCTTTTCGTACGAACGTACATCAGTTCAAGTTGCCACACTGTTACGCATGCGCGTAAACGTTATTTTGAACTATTACGAGTTTGCCTTGGTTGGAAAAAAGAGCGAGGATCGAGGATCCGGAGACACGACATGCTACTCAAATCCGATTATCCTAACCCCCCATTGAATAAAAGAAGACTTGATATGAAGTAGAACCTGTATTCTACAAGCATCCAGAAAGTACGAGATCCGAGTACGGAAGAGAATCGGGATCCCGGGATAGGGATCCGGGTCATAAAAGGTTACAGATAATGAGTATTTATACATTTAGGTCGAACAGGAAACAGCATCGAAGTCTGTGACATTGACAGTTAAGACGACCAATGGGAAACAACATTGGAGCACGTGACATTGATATCTAGGACGACCATAAAATTGATCAGTAGGAATTAACCAATAGGAATTGACCAACAATTCTCTTAGGATATTGGATTTATATCCTAACACATACCACATTAACACAGATGCAATTGTCATTTCAAATCCCATAGTAGTAGAGGTAGTAAAAGTATTAGCAGTAATCGGAGAGATTAGTTTTAGAAGATATTATTCAAGAAGTCGAATCTAGTGAGACAAACTTAAAAAGAAAAAGACATTGGTGATAAGGAATTCAGAAAGTTAGGATTTGCGAGAACATAAAGAATGAATGCACCTGCGCCATTGCAAACGGTTTTGAGCCATGCCATTCAGGGTCTCTAACCATCGATTACTATCATCTCGCGGGCCCCAACCAGGTAGTCGACATCTACCAACATGACTCACTCCACTTGTCAGTGACTTCATGGATTTGTGCCATGTTTTGGTCTGGCCACCCCTAGCTTTTTTTGCAACTTATCCCGACATCTCAAAACATAGCTCGACGAGGCAGTCGATGGTTAGGCATACGTAACACATATCCCAGCCACCTGAACTGATAGAATTTCAACACTTCATTTAATGACCTGTCATCCTAACTTACTACTGAGCAGTGCACTCGTCCTTTCGTTAGCAAACGGATATATCGCCTGCACTATAAGTGACGTAGGCTGGCAATAGCCAATCGAGCCTTCTGTATTTGTGCTGAGTCTTCGTCACACATCAAGTAATCAGCACTGATGAGACTGGTAAGTTAAATGAACCGGTCGACACGCTCAACTGCTTCATTCGCTATCACTAGTTCATGTGCCGATGCAACCCGATCTTGAAGCAACATTTTGCATTTCGACGGGGAGAATCGCATCCCGAACACGCTTGCGTTTCGCTCAGAGCAGTCCGAAGACTCCGCATTTTGTCAACCTCTCCACCAAGTAGGACTATATCATCGGCAAGTTCTAAGTCAACCAATGCGTTGCCTGGTAGGTCTACTCTTGAAAGTCCAGACACCTACCTACTGCAGCTGCCTTTTCCATCACTCTCGCTTCCGCTCCCCACCACTATTTGCGATCACTGCGTAGGCTTTTTATCAGCCTGTGCTTAAGCTAACTCCGCTACTCATTGAACTCAGTGCAAGGCGGGATGCATTTTTGAGCATCTTTCAATTCGGTAGATGCTACAGAAATCCACGGCTTCTCCCTAACCTTATGTTTTATCTTGCTAGCAGATATCACTGTTATTTCCACAGCTTTTTGATATCATTCCAAGCTGCCTCAGGGTGGGCATCACTTACTACATGGCTGTCTGACTTTTTTTCTAATTTTTCCTTTATTATCATTGAGTAGAGCCCTAACAGGTTTTCTAGCGGTATTTTTCCTACGTCCAGTAAGATGCAAACGAATGCGCGCTCGCACTAGAGCATGATGTGAATCTAAACATGTACCCCAGGACGTGCGACAGTCTTCTATCGAACCTCTCCGTCGGTGGCTGATGGCAATGTGATCTAGTTGGGTCCAACGTTGAGACGAATTTGGAGGTCGCCAGGTCAATGGATGCTTTTCCTTATGCCTTAAGTTAGTGTTTGCCAGAAATAGGTGGTTATTTGAGCACAGTTGCAACAGACGGTCGCCATTAGCTGTTCTTTGAGCCGAGACACCATAAGATGCACTCACGTGTCTTTCCTTTTCACTTAGTCTAGCTACTTAAGCATTAAAGTCACCAGCCACTATTACTATATCAGAGTGCCTAACTTTTTGAAGTTTAGGGAGGTTTTTGTAAAACTCATCTTTTATGTCGTCTGAACTGCAGTCAGTGGGAGTGTGGGCAGATACGACGAAGAGACAACGGCGAGTTTCCTTATATTTACGAGGCCGTCCCGTCCCATTTAGTCGGACAGTGCATAAGCAAATGTCTACCGGGGTCCGTTTTAAGAGAGCTTGTTCTGCCCTAGGACTCAATGCTATACCTACACTAGCAAGACCCCGGGAAGCAACATCAGGGCTTCCAGATACAAGAAGAGTAAATTGAGTTGTTGCTTTATCTAGATATGGTAACGTCAAACGGATGACGCCACTCGGATCCTGTATGCGCGTTTCCGAGATGAAACATACATCGGTCACCCGGGATTCCAGAGTTCTAGCTAATGAAGCCTGTTGCCCTATTTGGCACGAGGTTCGAACACTTAAAGCTCCAATATGTAATTTAGTACGAGGTTTCAGGAGGCCAGGGAATAATGTTTCGTGAGCTCAAACCGTTTACTTCAGCGGCGCGCGGTGACAAACGATCGAAAGGCGGGTCGAGGAGGTAAGACAGTTATTAGGTGTAGAAAGGATTTGATCGTGACCAATTTGCTCTCGTGTGCTTTTCTGGATACGAGGGCAGGTGTTACTTCCCAGTTGTCACATCGGGTGGGAGGGTTCTAAGCATTTGAAGGGGCATCGGCCGAATGAACTCGGGTTTCATCATGAGAAGTCATAACTCTCCCAAATGAAGACCTAACTCCCAGAACAGAGTGTATACGATTTGGATTATTTTTTCTTGTTAGCGTTTTTTGGCAGGTTGGATTTTTTCGGGATGGTGTCACAAACCCCAAGCCCAACCCTCCTTTATCCGGACTGAACCATGTTGGTAGGTGTAGACTACCTGGTTGAGGTCCATGAGACAATAGTAACAGATGGTTAGAGACCCTGAATGACATGGCTCAAAATAGATGCGATGGAGCAGGTGCATCCACTCTTTGTCTTCTCTGAAATTCTAATCTTGTGAATTGCTCATCACTTTTTCTCTCGTTTTAAATTGATTCTACTGGGATATTCTTCTCGAATCATACGGTCGATCCCTAATGCTTTTGATTGCAGTTAGTATTTCTACTACCTCTTCTATTATGGGATTCGAATTGACGATTCTATCGCTGTGTTCTAATGTGGTATGGAAACTTTTGGTGATGTACGTATGTACGAAGTTGTACGTTTTAGCTTACTGACCGACTGTCAAACACATTTCCTGGAAAGTTGCCTCTAACTGGTGGTACAACTTCTCCTTGATTACATCCGGACTGCAATCCGTCGAGGCGTAGGTAAAGACAACGAAATGACATCGTTTCGCGCACATAATTGAGAATCAATGGGAACTTAATCGGAGCAGGTGACTCTGTTAGGCTGTCACGTTTTGGGCGTTTGATCCAGAGCCCCGATCCACAACACAGTGCAACAACGTTGAGAGGTGAATTACCGTGGTAGTCGATGACGAAGAACAGGTCCACACGCCATTTGTTCCTTAAATAGTCTAGGTGAATCCCACTTACCCACCATGTATAACATGTCTCTGTTGTACAGCTTTAGCAATAATAATCCTGACTCCTATGAAAATTCATACTTAACACAGTATTTTCAGTGTATACTTGATTAGCAGTTCATAAAGTATCATGAATTATTCTAATGTGTTTAAGCACTAATGCAACACATTTATTACACTTAAACTAAATACATACAATACAATTTAGCTTTATTGTGATAATAATATGAAGTTATTTCTAAACATAAATTCATTTAGATTATTGCCACATATTATGTGGATGATGAGCATTCAATGGAAATGATAATTCAATTGCCAAACAACTATCCCTTAAGTCCAATTACTATTAGTAAAGGGCGTAGCGTTGGAGTTGGCAGTCAACAGTGGCAGTCATGGATTTTGCAAATGTCCGTTTTTATTAATAACCATGTGAGTTGGCAAAGATCTGTTTCGATTTTGTGTATTTCAACATGATCATTTTTAATGAACCATTGTTGACTGTCGCATCGATATTAACAATCCGTCATGTTTATAAATATTTGACTACATTTAGTGTTAAGTCTATAATATAGATAATAATTTACTGATATTTCTATTTGAAATTGGATGTTTTCTTCAATTTCACTTGTCTTTTTCACTTTTCACCTTTTGGTTATTCTAATTGTAAAAGATTAGAACATGTAAATTTTGATAAGTAAATTCACCAAAACCTTGGTAAACTTTCTATAGTGTTAAGTAGAATACTGCTAATGTAAGTATTTCTGAAATAATAAATTACATATTTTATTCTTCCACATATTACATTAACTAATTGATTTTGACCGTTTAATCTTAGTTCAGAATTCGACACCGTTGATTGTGACAAACTAACAGGGTTTATCATTACCACTTTCCGATCATTTGTGTGATCTCGACTGATAACTTTTTATGAATATTTACTATCAACCTACCGATTAAGACTCAACTTTATAACCTCATTTTGCTTCTGATAACTGAATGACTGGCCACGGATGTCTAGTTTTCGTGGATAGAATAAGATTTAAACTATAATATCACGGATTTCGTTTGATCCCACTGATACACATTGGCCTAAATATCAGGTAGTTGCAGTTTATCCCACAGCGAAACGCCGCCTCAAAATCACACAATGAAACAAGTAACCTTTTATAGCAACCCAAGATACTAGTACAAATAATGTTGCTGACAGTTTTGCATCCATCGACTTTATTAATTCATCATAATAAACTAGACGTGAAACGCCTATTCAAGATTCTTGAGAAAGATATTCAGTGCTGTATATTACCAGTAACTTCACTTAACAGTTCTTGCATCAGCATATTTTCAGCCATGACTTGAAGAATGTATTTCAAAGATATATACGGATGAGTAATTTATTGCAGATATTTTCTTATCAAATGTCAAAACTGCTGTTTCAGCTATACTCTCAGCAAAAGTATGCTTTTATAAACCATTAACACATCAGAAAGCCAAGGAGAACTTACAGTGACACTTAGCTGTGGCTAGGTGGAACCTAACCGGACACGAGACATTTCAATCAAAAGCGCCTCCAAGGTCAATGATTCATTGTAAATTTTGAAACATACTCCGGTACATAATCGGAAAGTTTGCTTTTGGTTTAGTCTCTGAATTGGAATTTCATCTTTTATTGTTTCAGATAATAGCTTCATTTATATATTCAACGTTGCGATGAAAGTTTTGTGTTTGTACTAGTGCGACAAAGTCTGGAAAAGATTCCAAGTGCTAGACTAAAAGTCATTTGGTTTCTTTGCATTTACATTTGGATGTCTGATTTCAGTATCGTCCCCTTCCTTCAACTCGCGGTCAGTGGTCAAAAAAGTGAAACAGAATAATCTCAGAGTATGGAGAGGGGAACTTGACATAAGAAACTGAGACGATGAAGAGTAATACTCGTTATTGTATTATCGTATTTTCGAGCTACATTGTGATTGATCGCAATTTTTAAGATATGCGACCATTTAACTTTTCCTAAAAAATGATTTGTCGTAGGGAACAAATTCAAAGAATTCGGCTGAGGTGCTGAACTCGTCAATTTTACCAGACACACACGGCTGGGATCGTACAATTTACATCTCCCACTGATTGGTTAGTGTAGTTCACTAACTCCATGGCATACCATTATATCATTCAAATGTACTGTCCATCTTTTTCTCTACTGACTTCTGGTTTGACTTAGCTCTGGTTATCCTCGATCTGAAACGTGTGACGGACGAAAGCGTTTTCCAACTCGCGTCATGATTGCTGAGCACAATGTGATCTGAAACACTCTGCAAAATAATGTGAGTTTGTGTTACGCCTGCACGTAAACACGTCAACTTGATATACTTGAACTATTACCAGTTTACCTAGTCGGAAAACGAGAGCGAGGATCGAGGATCCGGAGACACGACATGCTACTCAAATCCGACTATCCCAACCCCATATTGAGTAAAAATAAGACTAGATATGAAGTAGAACGTGTATTCTACAAGCATCCAGAAAGTAAGAGATCCGAGTACAGAAGGGAATCGGGATCCCGGAATAGCGATCCGGGACCGAGCCCTGGTCCTGGTCGTAGTCATTAAACGTTACAGATAATGCTTATTTAGGAAACAGCATCGAAGTCTGTGACATTGATAGTTAAGACGACCAATGGGAAACAACATTGGAGCACGTGACATTGATATCTAGGACGACCATAAAATTGATCAGTAGGAATTAACCAATAGGAATTGACCAACAATACTATTAGGATATTGGATGAATATCCCAACAGTTTGTTCCTTCGCATAACATTACATGTATTTACACACTTTTACGCTTCGAGATGATATTTTTGTCTTCAATTTTTTTCCAGCGTATCGATGTTTGTTCTATTCTTGACAAAGCGGCAGACACCTGAACTTCTTAGGATTAGAATTGTTGACCCGTCGAACATTCAGTCCGTGCCATTCTGGCCTGAAAACATTGATGACTAGTACTGCAGTGCAGAGTCTGAATCTGACGGTCACTGCGTGACGGACCAAAGTGCGCGATTCCTTGCTACTGACGGCCGGTATGTGATTTCAGAGAGCTAGCTCTGCATTTGAGCTCAATGCCATACCTACACCAGCGAGGCAACGGGAAGCAGCAGTGGGGATTCCAGATATATGGATAATAAATGACGACGGTTGTTTATGTTGGCTAGGTGAGGTTAAATGAATCACTCTACCCGGACCTCTTATGCGCGTTCCACAGATACAGCATAAACAAAAGAGCCGAGACTCCAAGGTTCCAGGAATTGAAGCTTGTCCTATTTAGCGCAAGGTCCGAAGATTAATAGCTTGAACATGTACTTCAGAGCTGAGTTTCAGGAGACTTGGTGTGCAACTACATCGTTAACCATAGCGTCGTGAGTTGATGAATTTATTCGAGGAGGGTTAGTCACAGAGACAGGAGAATTACTAAGAGTAACAGGAAGAATTTGGCAATGATAGAGATGTGTGGGTGATGTCACTTCCAGGCTGTCGACACAGTGGAATGATAGTTTCTGAGAAACCAAATTTCAAAAGCCATGTATGAGGTATTTATGAACCTGTCTTCATATCTGAGAAGTTGCTGTAGTAAAAGCAAACCAGCGTGAGTTCACCACCTTTTGACAGGTGGGGCTACGCTTACACTCTTCAAAATGTGAATAAAGCCCCCTCTCTTGAATACCGCCTACTTATCTCTTCAAACATGAATATTGTCGACAAAATACGAGTAGAAAATGTCCAGAGAAGCATCACAGCCGAACTCCTAGGATGTAACCATTCTCTTGACTACACAGAAACATTCGAACGTCTTTCCCTAGAACCTCTATGGCTCCGTCTGTTGAAAAACAACCTAATACTCTTCTATAAAATTATATATGATCTATCGTTTGCAACAAGTAAAGAAAGCCTGTAGATACTGCCCAACTACTGCCGATCACAAGAAACTCAAACTATCATTGTGAGTTCCTTCTTGTTCGTGTATTGGCAATCGAATACGTTTTTATGTCTCCAATTTATTAACATTCAAACACCTTACTTTTTTACTTATCTTCCTACTCATGAATTTTTAACATTATTTTTCTTCACTCTCTTTCGTCAGCTATCTATCTTTCCTATCTACAAACTACCTATTAACTGACCCATTTCTTACAACTTCTACGATTGATTAGTTAACTTAATAGCAGTGTGATATGCTACATGGATATATAGTACAATATACGGAAGCTACAGCTGACTGAACTCCGCCAGTAGAACCTTCGGGGCTACTGCCGGTCCCAAGCCCGGGTAAAGTAGGAGGGTTGGACATGGGGTTGGCGACCCCATTCCGTCAAAAACTAACTTGCCAAAATAACGCTAACCAGAAAAAATAATTCAAACCATTTTAACTCTGCCCTGAGAGTTGGAGGAAGAATTATGACGTCGCGTGATGAAAGCCGAGTTCCCTCGGAACTCACGGGGCCGATGCCTCTTCTGACAACCAGAGCAACCATTCTTTTAGGTACATGGAACGTTCGTACATTGTGGGAGACTGGAAGACTATTTCAAGTTGCGGCAGAAATGAAAAGATACAACCTGGAGGTGCTTGGAATCAGTGAAACGCATTGGACACAGGTAGGACAACTGAGACTAGCTTCAGGGGAACTGCTGTAATACTCTGGTCATGAAGAGGAAAATGCTTCACATACACAAGGAGTTGCACTGATGCTGTCCAAACATGCACAAAAGGCACTAATAGGATGGGAATCTCATGGACCCAGGATCATCAAAGCATCCTTCAAAACAAGGAAACAGGACATTACAATGAACGTCATCCAATGTTATGCACCTACCAATGACTACAATGACGACGTTGATGATCAATCCTGCGAAAGACTGCAGTCAATCGTCGCGAAATGTTCACCAAAGGATTTGACGATTCTTATGGGAGACGTGAATGCTAAGGTTGGAATGGACAACACTGGATATGAAGACATCATGAGACGACATGGACTGGGAGAAAGAAACGAAAATGGTGAGAGATTTGCAAACCTATGTGCCTTCAACAAACTGGTCATCGGTGGCACAATATTCCCGCACAAACGCATACACAAAGCTACATGGATTTCACCGGATCACACTACTCAAAACCAGATTGATCATATCTGTATCAACAAAACGTTCAGAAGGACTATGGAGGATGTGCGAACCAGGAGAGGAGCTGATATAGCCTCAGATCACCATTTGCTAATCGCCAAAATGAAACTGAAACTAAAGAAGCACTGAACAACGGGGCAGACAACATCGCACAAGTTTAATACGGCCTTTCTTCGGGATACTGTAAAGCTCAATGAATTCAAGATAGCCCTCACCAATAGGTTCCAGGCCTTTCAGGATCTGCACAATGGAGAGGACGCAACGTTGGAGAACAATTGGAAAGGGATTAAGGAGGCAATCACTTCAACATGTCACGAAGTTCTGGGTCACAAGAAGTACCATCACAAGGAATGGATCTCTGTTGATACTCTTGCAAAAATTGAAGAAAGGAGGAACAAGAAGGCAGCAATCAATGTCAGCCGAACAAGAGCAGAGAAAGTTACCGCACAAGCTGCATACACAGAAGCAAACAGGGAAGTGAAGAAGAGCATCAGAGCTGACAAAAGAAAATATGTGGAGGATCTAGCAATGACGGCGGAAAGGGCTGCAAGAGAAGGAAACTTGAGACAATTGTACAAGACAACAAAGAAGCTTGCCGGAAACTATCGTAAACCAGAACGACCAGTGAAAAGCAAGGAAGGCAAAGTAATCAGCAACACTGAACAACAGCGAAACAGGTGGGTACAGCACTTTAAGGAACTATTGAATCGACCAGCTCCACTGAACCCACCCAACATCGAAGCGGCATCCACGGGTCTCCCAATTAATATTGGCGCACCTACGATTGAGGAGATCAGTATGGCCATCAGACAAATCAAGAACGGCAAAGCAGCAGGACCAGACAACATTCCAGCAGAGGCAATGAAAGCAGATGTAGAAGCAACTGCGAAAATATTTCACATCCTCTTCAAGAAGATTTGGGATGAGGAACAAGTACCATCAGATCGGAAAGAAGGATACCTCATCAAAATACCAAAGAAAGGCGACCTGAGCAAGTGTGAGAACTACAGAGGCATCACTCTTCTTTCAATACCAGGCAAAGTCTTCAACAGGGTATTGTTAAACAGAATGAAGGACTTCGTAGACGTCCAACTACGAGATCAACAGGCTGGATTTCGTAAAGATCGATCGTGTACCAACCAAATTGCAACATTACGGATCATTGTGGAACAATCAATTGAATGGAACTCACCACTCCAAATCAACTTCATCGACTACGAGAAAGCATTCGATAGCGTGGATAGGAAAACACTGTGGAGGCTTCTTCGACACTACACTGTGCCTGAGAAAATAGTCAACATCATACGGAATTCTTATGATGGATTCAACTACACGAAGGACAGCTAACAGACTCCTTTGAGGTGAAGACCGGTGTCAGGCAAGGTTGCTTACTCTCACCCT